GAGAGAGAGAGAGAGAGAGAGAGAGAGAGAGAGAAAAGATATTTTCAACTTTGGAGCTGGAATTTATAGAGAAAGACTATTCATGGGCGCAAACCCCATGCTCGCGGCCACTACCTGCCTAGGTGGCATGACCGCGGGCACGATGCCCCTGACCGCAGGCGTGACCGTGCATACCGCAGCCCCCCCATGGCGGGCCATGCACTCATATCTGGGCTAACAGACCTAAGGCCTAAATTGCAAACCGCGGGCATCACCTACCAAACTCAAAACTCTGGGATGCTGCCTAGCAGCCAGCCCAAGGCATTCCCAGGGCCCAAACTATACCGAAAGGCCCACGTCACTCGCAACAACCCCTTGTCCCAACCAAAAACAAAATTGGATCGGGTTAAACTGACCCGAGCCACTACAAATTCATCACATTTTATAGCATTGTTAAGAGAATGTTATAAAAAATTATTATTAAAAGTATTTTTTCTTGTATTTTAGGTGGTGGTGATAGATTTGAAATCGAATTAAGGATCGTGATACAAATAGAAAAGATACAGAAAAAACTAAAACCTAAGGAAGAAAGAAGGCAAAAGAAAGTACTTGGTATCTTATCTTTATTCATCAAATAGAACTTCCTTTATGTAGGCTCATACATAACAAATAATAGCATAAAAATAGGTACTACACAGAACTGCAAAATAAACCCCTATAGACTAGGTAAATAGAAACAAACTTATTAATCAATTCCTAAAGACTTGGTCAAAACAACTACTGACTAAAGCTTTTGATAAATACTAATAAATATGAAATAACACATTTAAGTCTTAACACCCTCCCTTAAACTGAAATCTGCAGAAATCAGTTTGAAAGAAATTTGAAAAATCAATCTTGCGCAAAGTCTTCCTTTAAAGCAGCACCTGAACAAACTCCAAGTTTAATCCATGCAGCTTCACAAATGCAGCCAACTTGAGAGGCTTGCTTTGTATATCTGCGACTTGATCTTCACTTTGACAGTAAACCAGCTCGATTTCTCCATGATTGCTAAGATCTCTTAAAAAATAATACTTCACATCAATGTGTTTGCTCCTTCCATGTGGCCTAGGGTTTTTTGAAAGTTTGATGGCTGAGTTGTTGTCACAAAAAATAGTAGTAGCTCCCACTTGCTTGAACTATAGCATTTTAAGAACTTTCCTCAGGCAGATAGCTCGACAAGCACATGTTGTTGCAGTAACAAATTCAGCTTCGGTGGTTGACGAAGTGACAATTGGTTACTTCTTAGATGGCCACGAAACAACTCTAGAACTCATCATAAAAACAAAACCATAAGTACTTTTTCTATCATCAATATCTCCAACATTGTTGTCTGAAAAACCAATCCACTTGACTCTCCACCATTTTTATAAAAAAATTTCAAAATTTGTTGTACATTTCAAATAGCAGAAAATTCTCTTTGCTACTAAGAGGTGAACTTCAGTTAGATTCTCCATGTATCTGCTAATTGAACTGACAGCATGCATAATATATGGTCTTGTTGAGGTCAAATACATAAGACTCCCAACAATTTGCTTGTAAAGAGTTGCATCTATCTTCCTTCTTGATCCATTCTTCATGAGCTTCAAATCAAGTTCAATTGAGATGGAAACTAAGTTACAGTCTTGCATTCTGAACTTGTCTAAAATTTCCAAAACATATTTTTGTTGTGAAATGAAGATACCAGCAGGAGAATGCACTACTTCAATGACAAGAAAATAGTGCATCAACCCCAAATTTGTAATGTCAAATTCATTCATCATAGATTTCTTAAACTCAACAAGCATGGCTCCATCATTACTGACATAAATAAGGTCATCAGCATATAAGCACGCAATAAGCATCTTCCCATCTGCTATAAATTTAGTATAGAGTGTATGCTTATAAGGACATTTAAGAAAGCCTTCTTTAACAAAGTAAGAATCTATACGACTATACCAAGCTCTAGGTGCTTGTTTTAGTCCATATAATGCCGTTTTTAACTTTTATACTTGTTTTTCGTGACCTTGTTTCACATATCCAGGAGGTTGATCAATGTACACCTTTTCTTTCAATTCCCCATGCAAAAATGCAAACTTTACATATAATTGAAAAATAGGCCAAGAGTTTTGAGCAGCTAAATAGATTACCAATCGAATTGTGTCTAGCCTTGCAACTAGAGCAAACACCTCTTTGTAATCAACACCATACTCTTGCTTGCATTCCTTTGCCACCAGACGAGCCTTGTGCTTGTCTATCTCACCTTTCTCATTCAACTTGGTTTTAAGAACCCACTTCACACCAATAGTTTTCTATCCTTTTAGCAAGTCAATCAGTTCCCATGTATTATTTTTCTCTATAGATTTGATCTCAGCATTCATTGCCTTTTTCCATTTAGCGTTCTTGACTACTTCGTCAAATGTGATAGGATCAAAATCTGCAAACAATGCAAAGTGAGCAATAGTCTCATCATCAGAGGGTTCATCTCCACTTACATAGTCAATCATCCAAGCTGGTCTTTTCCTTGGACGTTGATTCTCAGGTGGCTGTTCATTTGTTGGTGTAATCTCTAAAGAACTGGGCAAGTGTTCATCTAAGGATTGTTGCTGCATTTCAGTCCTACTCTCTACATCATCAAAAATAACTGGAATTTGCTGCATCTCTTTGCCTTTTCCAATCCAATCCCACATCTTTTCTTCATCAAAAACCACATCTCAGCTGGTAATTATTTTCCCAGTAATTGGATTGAATAACTTGTAGGCTTTGGAGTGTTCACTAACTCCAAGGAAGACACATTTGTCTCCTTTGTCATCAAGCTTTTTCCTTTTCTCATCTGGGACATGTGCATAAGCTATGCAGCCAAAAATTCTAAACTAATCTACAGCTGGTGTGCGCCCACTCTAAGCCTCCTCACGTGTCATGTTTTGAACAAAAAAAGTAGGACTTCTGTTCAACACATGAATGCTCCAATTTACTGCCTCAGGCCAAAACCTTTTTGAAATGTTTCCTCTTGCCAGCAAGCTTCTTACCATGTTAAGGATTTCCTCTCTGATACACCATTATGCTACGGTATATAAGTAGCTGTAAGTTCCCTTCGAATACCTTGATCTTTACAAAAGCCTTCAAATTCTTTTAAGTAGTATTCTCCACCATGATATGGAGAGTTTTGATGGCTTTTCCTGTTTCATTTTCAACACGTCTTGAAGCTTTTAAATGTAATAAAAGCTTCTGATTTCGCCTACAAAAAATAAACCCAAGTTTTTCCAGTATAATCATCAATGAAGGTAATAAAATATCTTTTACCCTTATTAGAAGATGGATTTATCAACCCATAAATATCTGAATGAACCAGCGCCAGGATATGTTTTGCTCTCCACGACTTTCCTTGAGGGAATAGAGAATGATGTGGTTTGCCAACAACACATTTTTCATAAACTTGAGAAGGAATGGAAATTTGAGGGAGGCCTGTAACCATAACTTTCTATTGGAGAGTCTTTAATCTGCCAAAATTCAAGTGGCCATAGCGAAAATGCCAAAGCCATGAGGGGTCTTTTATTTCAACCATTAAACAAGGTTGAAATGTTCTTATCTTCAAAGGAATCAACCTATTTGAACTCATCTGAACAACAGCAATTGCTCCTCTTGAAGGATCATATATCTCACAAGCACTTTTTTTAATAAATATCTCATAACCTTTTTCTTGCAACTGACTAGTACTTAACAAATTACTTTTCAAGTCAAGAACATAAAAACTATTGGAAATTGTTTCTACAAAACCATTCTTGGTTCGAATATTAATATCACATTTTCCCATTACTTTCACAATAGAAAAATCACCAAAGCTCACTTTAGAATTAAAGTCTTCATTTAAGCAAGTAAAAGAAGACTTACTTCCACACATGTGGTTACAGCAGCCCGTATCCACATACCAAACATCTGACTTAGGTTCCTTATTGACATGAAAAGCCATTAACAGAGTTTCTACTTTCTTGTTTTCTATAAAATTCGATTTCTTCCCTTTTTCTTTGTTGTTGGGAAGTTTAGTATAACAGTCGATAATGACCAAATATATGACATCTGAAGCATTCTACCATGGATTTGTCAAATTGTTGATCTCGTTGATCCCGTCCTTTGCCTCTACTTTGAAATTGATCATCATCAACCTTAAAATGTTGATAATGTCTGATGCCATCTATATTGCATCGACCTCTCATTCCTCTACCTTTACCACTTCCTCTAGAATTTGAGAACTGAGTAAGGGTAAAAGCTTGTAAAGCTTGCTCATCCGTAGTGGAACTTTGGTTTATCTTTTGTTCATGGACCAATAATGAGCTTTGGAGTTTATCAAGTGAAAGCTCATCTACATCTTTCGATTCTTCGATTGAGCAAACAACATAATCATGCTTTGGGGCCAACTATAACGCAAAATCTTCTCAACAATGGCCACATCTTCCATCTTTTCACCATTAAAGCACATCTTGTTTGCTATCCCCATAGTTCTTGTACAATAACTGGTAACATACTCTCCACCTTTCATCTGTAGAGTCTCAAAATGCCTTCTCAAGGCTTGATGCTGTGCACACTTCACTCTTGATGAGCCTTGATATTTTTTCTTCATTAAATTCCAAATATCCTTGGAAGCTTCTTTGCAAAGAATTGTTTCCAGGATAGATCGATCAATGGCCTAAAACAGGTAATTCTTTGCCTTCAAATCTTTTAACTTTAGTCCTTCAATCTCTGTTTTTTGTGCATCTATGAGTGTCACGCCAACTGCTAGTAGTACTATACTAGATTTAATGACAGACCAGTACTCTTTAGACCTCGAGAAGTTCTCCATCAGCATGCTCCAATGGTCATAATGACCATTGAAGCGAGGGATTGCTGACTTAGGTTCCTTATTGGTGATGGTGATAGTGATGGTGGAACGAAGGAAGAGATAGACATGGTGGCGTAGTAGTGGGTTGGTGTGGTGGTGGAAGTGAGAGTAGCAATGGTGCTGACATTAGTGAGTTTAATTGGAAAACATTTTTTACTTTTTAAAATTAAAAAATATTTTCTACTCATGTATGCTTGATTTTTGTTGTTTATGAAAAATGTTTTTTATTAATTTTTGTTTTTCATTGTGCCAGACACTAAAATCACAAAAAATATTTTTCAATCTAAACAAACGAAGTGTTAGTTCTTTTCATTTCCAAGTTATCCAAAATATGTGATTTGGGAGAAGAGACTTTTCTTTTCTTTTCTTTTCTTTTCTTTTTTTTTCCTTCTGTCGTCACTTTTTTGCCTTTTCTCTTCATTTTTTTTCTTATCTCCCAATCCACCGTCAAATAGAAAGAGAAATCAATTTAATTGTTAGCTAGCGCCCAAAAAAAAAAAAAAAACCCCAAAATGTGTAATTCAAATATACGGTTGTAATTCAAATATACGAAAAGGAAAATTTTAAACATACATAAAATTTATATAGAAAGCTTAATAAGAATGATATGCCAATATAATTATTGTAAATAAATTTATTTTCAGTAATGTTTTGTTTTGAAATAAAAAAAATCATAATAAATCACATTATTACGTATAAAAATTATGTATAATTTTTTTTAATTTAATTATTTTTTTTTATTTTATTTTAGCATACTCATATGAAAAAGGGAAGCAAGGAGTGTGTTGTGCTTTCGTTGGGATCCCCTCACTGTGTTGTGCTTTCGTTGGGACCCCCTCACGTTTAATCTTATAGAAATTTGGATCAGGTGACCGTGTGTGACTGTGTGCCAATTTAATAATAATAATATATATATATATATATTGGGACTCACGTGTGGGTTTTAATAAGTGGTCTTATTATTTAATAGGTCTTATGATAATTAATGACATTTTTTATTAAATATTATAAAAAAAAAGTTATTAATTGTTAATTTTCAACAATAATTTGAGAATTGTCACAAAAAATGTCACTAATTATAAGTTTTAACTACAATTTAAACAAATCGTTACAAAAAAAAGTCACTAATTTACTACTTTCAGCGACAGTTTGAAAATTTTGTCACACAAAAACGTCACTAATTATAAGTTTTAGTGATAATTTATAAAAATCATAACAAAAAAAATGTCACTAATTGTCAATTTTTAGCGACATGTAAAAAATCGTCACAAAAAATTATTTTGGCGATGATTTTAATAAGATTTATTTTCAATAGGACTTAATGAGAATTAAGTTCAACTATTATGACCTATTGATAATTTATTCTTTTTTTTCTTTTCTTTTTCTGTAGAACATGTAATTATTTTGGTCATTGCTATTGGTTGAGTATATCTGAACATAAAATTTTTGGAACACATAATAATTACTCATAATCTTATAATCCAAATTATTTCAAAAATACTAGATATTTTAAAGGAATTATCAAATATTTTACATAATAATACTCACATAGGCATGAGACCCACACCATGAGATCTATATGAGTGTCATAATACCCATGTTAGTATTGTATAAAATATTTAATAATTTATTTAAGATTGCTCAAATTTTTTATTTTGCTGAGTTCATTTCAAACACAGTAATCACATATTCAAATTATATTTATCTTTACAAAAAAAATGGTAAATGTGAATTTAAAAATAACTTGTTCATTTTTTTAAAAGTCCAATGTAATGTGATCATGTGAATACCGATATCCAATCTTCTTAATTTTTTTTTGTATTGATAATCCTTTTATAGATCTTACAAGTTGAAGGATTTGGATCACAAAATAGACCAGAGATTGTCCCAAGTGATGGAAAATAAATAAATGATGAAAAATGAACATGGTAGAAAGTAAAGTCAAAGAAAATAAAATATATTTCTTCTATAAATTTGATTATAATGAAATTTAACAAGAAAAAAAAATAAGAATTTTAATTAGTAATTACTTTCATAAACACATTTAAACTTTTTCTTATATTTTTTCCCCAAAAAAAAAAATCTAAAAGTTTAGAGTCTATTTGGTAACATTTATATTTATAATTTTGTGTTTATATTTACAAAATTTTTAAAAATTATAAACAAAAACTCATTTGGTAGTGTTTCCATTTTCAAAAAATTATACACGTAAAAAAGTTGGTTTTTATTTATTTATTTATTTTCTTTCTTCTACTCAATCAGACTATCACCTATTACTCATTACTACCCGTTACTATTGCCAATGACCTCATCTCCCATCCACTTCCTTCAATCACCAACTGTGGGGAAGTATTTTGAGAATGACGCCATGTGGCTAAGGTGACACCAGGATGTCGGCCGAGGTGCCACGTGGACGGATCATGTTTGTCGAGATGATCATGACACTGCAAAGGTTCTCTGCGGTAATACTGGAATCCGAGATATTTGGATAGAGGACAAGAGTCTTGGATAAGAGAAAACACTTGGTCTAGATAAGGATAAGGCTCACATGGCGTCTATCTCTATACAGCTGAGAGTCTGAGATCAGCATTGTGTTTGAGTCCTATGAAGTAAGACTTCTAGGGGATTAGGACAGTGTTGGTAATAAAAGAAAGGCACCCCCCGTGAGTTTGAGGTACGCATTGATTTGTGAGTTTAGTTCTTGTTTGATATCTTGTGAGAAATAAGACTGACTGACTTAATTGTCGGAGTGCCCCCGAGTGGACGAGCTACCATGGTATTCTCATTTTCTTGATGGCAAGTTGTTGGTTCATTCTATTCTGTCGAAAGTTCCTTGTTTGGTTGTTAGGTCAAAAATCAACACCCACAATTTTAGTGAGGATAAAATGGCCAACAATGGACAAAAGGTGAGAATTGGAGACGACATTCACAGTGTGGAGGAGGAACACATGGATCCAAACACTAGAGGAGGGAACAACAACGAAGAGGTGCAAAATGGGAACAAGAAAGGTAGTTGGGATGAGTATTACCATGAAAATGATCTTCGGGTATGGAAGGATAGCTTCTTAAGAAGAGATGAGGAACTCAAAGATATGGCGAACAAGTTGATGAACCTGCAGACAATGGTCAACTTTTTGATACAGAACAATGTGATACAACCAGCTTTTCCTTTGCGAGACACAGTGACACCAATAACCAAAGCTGGTGTCCAGAATGGAGGGCATAAGACGATACCAGCCATCCCACAGCATGGTAAGGGATAGGAAAACTCACATCGGCAATCGCGAGATGCCGGGAGGACGGAGTCAAAGCGAGGGGAGTCTCAAAGGACACCATGAACCAAGGGGACCTATGTTAGAGGATCTCGATAGATCCACGGGTAGGGCCTTTGTTTTGATGAAACAGAGGACGTAGAGAAGTCCAAGAGAACACACCCTAACACAAGAAGCAGCGCACCAAAAAGGCTAAAGTCGACTGACAATTGAGCACCTAGACGGATGAAGGATGACTTAAGAGACTACCTCCAAAGGAAGAGACACGATGCCGAGATCACATTCAACGCCCAACTGAAGAAGCCGTTCTCGGTGGAATTGGATGCGCTTGAAGCACCGAAAAGATTCAGCATGTCGAGGTTTCATAATGGTAAGTTAGATCTATGGTGGTAAGTCAGATCCAAACTTTCGTGTCAGTTTATATCTAAATTCAATGGCTTTGTGAAGTGGGAACGAACAACTATTATGCAAGGTATTTCCATCATCATTTGGGAAAATAGCATCGGATTGGTTCCACAAATTGCCTAAAGGATGTGTTAAGAGTTAAGAAGGCCTGACTGAGATGTTTGTGGCCGGGTTTGTTATGAACGAGTTGCAGCCATTAAGGGTGGATTTCCTATTGGCTCTAAAGATTAGTGATGATGAAAGCCTCAAGGCTTACACCAAGAGATACTGCGAGGTTTACAATCGAATCTCGACTTATAACACGGAACTTGCAGTTGTTTCTTTCAAGAACGGCTTGGATGATGATTGCCCATTTCGGTAATCCCTTGCAAAAACCTTGCCCAACAATATGGAAGAGCTCATGGCACGTACCAAGAAGTACGCTAGAGTAGAAGAAGACAGGAATAGGTCATCAAGTTACTGGCATAGTTTCAGAGTTGTCGGCTATAGCAGGTCATCTGAGATGATAGCAGCCATGTTGATGCCCTAGCAAACCTAGCCAGTGCTATAAAGTCAAACGAACTAAGGACAATTATGATGGACTCTCTGTCAAGACCAAAGTGTGGAACCGTTGATAACAGAATATGAAGCAATGTGCGTGGAGTTGGGTCCAAGTTGGATGGACGCCATAGTCATTGTAATGACCCCAAAAGTCATCCTTATTTAATTAAGGGTTAATGTATTTTAATTCAATTATATCTATCGGAATTAAAGAATTATCTGCTGAGTTATGGTGACCTTTATTGTATCGGCTTGAAATTTTTTTTCCCTCCGCTCGAGCGTGGGCTCATTTTTGACATTCTTAATAGTGTATTTGGAATGTTCTTACCTTATTTTGGGGTATTGTTTGAGGTGGTGGTATGATGGTAAAGTAAGATTGGACCAACGAATATAATTCGGATAGTTAATCTACGATCAACCGTCATTCATTTGCCCTTTTCTTTTTCCACACTTTGAATTTGGATGTGAGGTTAGACCATTGGAAAGCTTATCTCCGGGGCTTCAATTTCACCACAAGAATGACCTAAAACGGAGTTCGGATGAGAGAGTTACGTCTGTTCAAAGTTTTGGAGTTTGTGCTGAAAGTAGGTACGCTCGAGCGGGGGAAGCGACGCTCGAGCGGGGGACGCGAATTCAGCAAGTTTAAATCGCATTTCTGGATCATTCTTGGCATTTTTCATCTCCTTCCTCCTTCCTCTCCTTCTAGGTCCGAAACCCTAGCCCCCAAAACCTTGATTTCCTCTA